TCCCGAGCTTGGCTCCCGGGGCCTGCCAGGAGGGAGGGTGCAGGCGGGAAGGCGGAGTGAGGGAGCCAGACCCCCTCGCGCTGGGACAAAATCACGGGGGGAGTTTTTTTTCGCTGTTTTCGGCCTCCGGGGGCCCCGTTCTGGGCCCCCGGAGCGTCAAAAAAAGTTTCATGAGATGAAAAACCGGTCCCGGGGAGGGGGTCCAGAGTCCAGACCTCTGGAGGTCGACATTGTGAAAGAAACACGACTTCGAGGGTTTGGGGAGCACGGCCGGACCCAGGACAGAAAAACATCATCCAAGAACACGAGACCCTCTGCTAGTCAAAACACACAGGGCATACAAGGATATCCTCCCCAGGATGCACAAGAACATCCAACAAGCACGAAGAACAGTTGGGTACCCTCCCCTACCCGACCTCGATCTAATACCTCGGTACGACCGCATGCGGGAATATGCGGAGAAGACGTCCCCAGCTCTGTGAGCACAGAGGAGCCTTAAGGCTTGCGGGGCCCCTCTGCTCGAGGGGAGGCTCCACGAAGAAACAACTGGCCAGGGAGAGGGAGGCGGAGAGAGGGAGCGGGGAGGGAGTGGGGAGGAGGGGGAGGAGTGAGGCGAGGGGCAGGGCGTGGGTAGGAGGATGGGGGAGGGAGCAGGGAGCAGGATGGAGGAGGGATACCTCGGGAGGAGGAGGAAGGATGGGATACAGTCGGACCTAGGCCAGAAGGGTATCCCTCACCAAAACAATCAGAGCATTCAAGGGTACCCTCCCCAGGTTGCACAAGAAAGTCCAACAGTCACAAAGAACACTAGGGTACCCTCTCCGAACCTACCTCGATCTTATACATCGGTCCGACTGTACGGAAGACGACAAGGTTGGGTTTCGAAGTGCAAGGAGGTGCACAGCGGCAGCCCCGCTCTGGAAAGGAACCGCCCTGCATCCATGCAGCTGCTGCTGTGTGTTTCAAGTATGGTCCTGGGCTCTTCCGAAGTCTCGGGCGAAAACCCACTTGAAAATGAGCCGCCCTCGGCCCGTGCAACATGTGCAACTGTGAAACAATCGAACGAGAACATCGCTTGGAAACGTGCCTTCGTACATCCGTGTAGCTGTTGGAAACTTGTGAGACGACTATGCGCGGCGCTAAAGCGTGAACCACATGTTGAACACGTACGGGCCTCTATCCGTGTAACTGTTGGAAGAGTTCAAGACCGACGTCCGCGGCCCTCCAGCGAGCGCAATATTCTGAAAACGACCACACCTCCGTCCGCGTGACTGTGAAGAGAAATACATCAAAGAACAATGATGGTAACTCGTAGGCCGGCAACATCCGAGCAGTGTGAAAGGACAAGAGGTGAAGGGTTGAAACGTTAACGCACGGTGGGGGCATTGGACAAAAAAACCTTGGATAAGGAACCCCGGGATTGGAAGCCGGTGGAACTCCAATCGTGGATCGGCCAGGGATCTCATCGCCGACCGCATCGGATAAGGAAGCCTCCAGGGTCTGCAGCCTCCTGGGCACATTCCTTAACGATCGCCCCCGCCGTCATTCCTTTATGCACCGAAAGCGCCCCGCCCCATCCCCTCCTCCCTCGAAGGAGCGCAGGAGGGGGGAGGGGGAGGGAGGGGGAGGAAGTAAGAGAGGGACTGGAATGGAGAACGTGACAAGGCAGAGGGACTGACCTGCGGGAGGGGAGGCGAGAGGCGGGAGGCGGGGGCGGGGAGATGCGGGGGCAAGAGGGGCATGAGCAGGAGGCGGACCTTGAGGGTCTGTTTGCGTATGCGGGCTGCCGCCCTCCTCCTCCCCCGAGGGAGGCACGCGACTGCGCGGATGCACGACCTTTTGCAGACGGGCCCCTCCTCCGCGGCCATCGGGGTCGGCGACGGGACCGCCGTGGGCACCGGCATGTCTGTCGGCGATGACAGCCCAGGCGCGGAGGCCTCCCGCGGCGAGCAGGGGCCCTGCTTCCTGCTCCTGCTGATGTTGCCGCTCGTCATGCTAAGTCCTCACGCTGCTCCTCTTGCTCCCGCTGCTGTTGATCCTCCTCCTCCTCCTCCTCCTCCTCCTCCTGCTCATGCTCCTCCGGTCGTGAGCGCCTTGACGACAGTTAGACTATGAACATTCGCGGCGGCAATGCCATTTACTTGTGGGAAACCTTGAGGAAGAGCAGTGGAGTAAGAGAAGGAGGAGACACGCCTCCCTGGCGCGCGTCGAGCTGAAGTGTTTTTTTCCTCTGTTCGACGTCCTCAGACGTTGCGCTTCCGCTGGGCTCCTCCCCCCTCGATCCCCCGGGATATTTGCTCTCGTCCTCCCTTCCTCCTGCTCCTCCCCTTTCTCCCAGCACGTTTCTCCTCCTCCTCCTCCCCCTCCTCCTCCTCTCCCCCTTGTGCTGCCGACGCCCCCTGGTGGCAGGCCTCCACGGGCGACGCCGACACCAACTTCGCGGGGGGCGGCAGCTCGAAGGCGTCCGCCGCCTCCGCGCCCTCCGCGGGCGACGGCACGTCTGGCGGGGCGCGCAGAACAGGCAGCCGAGCAGACGGCGACGACGACCATGACGATGACGCCGATGATGACGATGGCAATGACGCCAACGTCAACGGCGGCGCGGCGAAGACGACGGTGCCGCTCGCGACGGTCATGGATGGTATCGATAACGATGACGTTTTTGGAGGCGGAAGAGGGGCCTTCCCCTGCTCTCCCCTCCCCGCCCGCTCCCCTCCCCCTCCCCGACCTCTCCTTCCCACCTCCTCCCGTCCCCGCATCCCTCCGCTCGTTCTCCCTCCTGCCGTTTGACGTTGCCCAGACATGGATCGGAGATCGTTGCGTTATTTGTGACATGCGAAAAATCGCGGTCGCGGAAGTAGCAAACACATTAAGCAGGTGGCGGGCGCTGCAGGCAAAGGCAGGCGAAAAAGCAAGGCGGCGGAAGGAGGCCACTAAGGCGCAGAGTAAGCGCCCGCCACATGCACTTCTCCCTCCTCCTCCTCCTCCTCCTCCTGCCCCTCGTCCTCCTCCTCCTCCTCCTCCTCCTCCTCCTCCTCCTCCTCCTGCTGCTCCTCCTCAGCGATGGTGAGGGTGCGAGCATCTAGTCTGCTGCGCGCTGGCCCATCATCCCTGCAAGAACTCAATGCGAAGTGATTGAGGGTGTACACGCCATGCGCGATGCGGGCCACCCCGACACTACTTTGTATGAGCTTTGACAGAGATGCCAGGAATATCGACATACTGCCCAGAGTGCTTTCACGTGCACTGGCGCACCTGGCGCACTCTGCACTCGTCGCGCACCTGGCGTATGTGGCTCACCGCATGCGCCCGGAGCACGTGGCATACTTGGCACGCGTGGCGCAAGTGGTACACTCGGCGCAGCTGGCGAGCTCGGGCACCTGGCCGACCCAGCCGACCTGGTGCCGTGCCGCACCTGGTGCCGTGGCGTACGCGGCGCATCTCCCGAGAGTGTATGGCACCTGGCGTCTACAGTTGCTCTCAACGGCCGCCCCGAGTGGTGACCACTGCCTCTGTTAAGCCTCGGGAACTACTTGTGTGGTCGGAGTGCGGGTGGGAGTGAGCGAGACAGCGTGTGGCTTTCGTGTTGGAAGCTTGACCACCTCCACCCCTTCCCCCGATTACTCTTCCCTATTCCCCGCCTCTCGGTCCCCTTCTCTCCCGTCCTCCTTATTCCCCGCATCCTCCTCCTCCTCCTCCTCCTCCTCCTCCTCCTCCTCCTCCTCTTGAGAACAGGCGCAAGCGCAGCCGCCAGAAGACTGGGCTCCCTCCGGCCTCCTCTCCTTTCCCTCGTCGTCCTCTTCCTCCTCCTGCCCCCTCCCCTCGTCAGTCTGGCGCCAGCATGCACGGGCCTCCCGAGCGCCGCGGCGGAAGTGCAGGCAAAGCAGGGTCGTGATCGGCTACAGTGTAGGGCCAGGCCGCGCGAGAAGGCAAGCAGTGGCAGGTGTTACTGGCGCTGCGAGAGCGACAAAAGTGCGGGAGCAGCCCGTGCGGAAAAAGGGACGCGCAGTGGCAGCGGACGCTGGCGCTGCGAGGCAAGTGCGGGTGGGCCACGATAAGCAAACTCGCTGGGAGCAGCCCGTGCTAGCAAGAAGGTAGGCAGTGACAGCTGGCGGTGGCGTTGTGTGAAGGTGAAAAACGAGCCCGACGCCGTCAGCTACATCCGACGCGATGTACAAGGCAAGCGGTGAAGAGGGAGGCCGATGAAGGACAAGCCAGATGCCATCAGCTACTACGCTGGGATCAGGGCAACGTGAAGTTGGAGCCAGAACAATCCCCTCATGACAAAGAGACTAAGAGGCGAAGCTGGTGCTCGACGCGTCGAAAAAGTCGAAGGCCGAGCCCGATGCCATTAGCTGCAACCGACTCCGCGCGGGAAGCTGAAGGCGAAGACGGAGCCCGATAGCGACAAGGAGAGCAGTAGCAGCATAGTGGCAGCAGGCGCTGGCACTGCGAGAAGCATGCATGAGCGAACGTCCCCAGCTGCAAAGCGGGGATCAGCTTGTGCGCGGAGGCACGCAATCGCGGGAGCGCAATGGCAGCAAGTTTTAGCACTGCGAGAAGGCGGAAGTGCAGGAGCGGACGTCCTCAGCTACAGTTCTGGGATCAGCCCATGTGCGAAAGCAGGCAGGGGCAACAGGCGCTGGTAATGCGAGAAGGGTACGCAATGGCAGCAAGGTGTGGCAATGCGAGAAAGCGCAGGTACCAGAGCGGACGCTTCCGTTACAATTCTGTGAGATCGTCTCGTCTGCGAAGGTCGGCAGTGGCAGCAGGAGTTGGCAATGCGAGAAGGGCAAGCCGTGACAGCAAGCCGCGGCACTGCGAGAAGGTGAAAGTGCAAGAGCTAAACGTCACCAGCTACAATGCTGGGAGCAACTCGTGCGCGAAATGGCCGGGGAGCGGCCGAACAACGTAGGGTTGCGATTCGTCGGGAGCTCAGTGGAAGGCCTCGTGTGAGAAGCGGGGGGCGAGGCTGATGCCCAATATCGTCGGGCGGGAGTTGGAGCCAAACGTCCTCAGCTACTGCTTCGGTAATTATGCCATTCAGGGCTGCAACTCATGAAGCAGCCCTTGCCGCCCAGGATAAGCCTGGGTGTTGGTGCTGTCTCCTCTCGACGGTCCTGTTGTCGTGTGCGCGGAAGGGTTGATCAGGCCACTGGAATCCCAATCGACTCCTCCTCCTCCTCCTCCTCATCCTCCTCCTCTTCTTTCTCCTCCTCCTCCTCTTCCTCCTTCTCCTCCTCCTTCTGGGCGCTGACGGCATCGAATTCCTCAGGGATGCTGTCACATTCCTCCTCGCCCTCCTCCTCCTCCTCCTCCTCTTCCTCCTCCTCCTCCTCCTCCTCCTCTTCTTTCTCCTCATGCCTATCCTCCTCCTCCTCCTCCTCCTCCTCCTCCTCCTGAGACAGCAGAAAAAAGTCATGTCGACACACGCACGCACACACATTTTCTCTCTCTCTCTCTCTCTCTCTCTCTCTCTCTCTCTCTCTCTCTCTCTCTCTCTCTCTCTCCCTGAGTTTCGGTGAGACCGCGTCCGAAAGGTAGCCCACCACCACGACCCGGCAGTGCACCTTCAGCACCCGGAAGCCGACCAGGACCATGCCCGGCAGCCACAGCGGCGGCCCGGCGGCGCCGCCCGGCCGGCTAGCCGGCAAGCTCCGCCGCCAGCGCGGCGCGAGCCGCTAGCGCCGGCTCTTCGCCGAGCGCGGTCCGCAGTTGGCGCGCGGTAGCGCGGTGGAGAGCCACGCTCAGTTCGGCCCCCCAGCGCCGCGCCAGCGCGCTCGCGGCCGCCTCGGCCTCGGAGCCGTCGCCCAGGCCCTGCGCGCGGCCCCGCGCGAGCCAGCGCAGGTGGCGCAGGGCGGCCCTGCCCAGCCGCCCGGCCGTCTCGTGGGCGAGCGGCAGGACCGCCCAAGGCGCCCGGCGCTCAGGGTAGCGCCGGCGCTTGTCCGCCTCGCCCTCGGCGGCCGCCGCGCCGTCGCTGTCCGCGGCCGCCGCCAGGGCGCGGGCGTCCCCCGGAACGCTGTACCGGACAGCGACGTCCGCCAGCATCCGGGGGCAGTCGCCCCGCTGGTCCTCGAGGTCCAGGAGCGCCTCCTGGCGTTCGGCCTCCAGCGGCCCGCCGCGGGCGCCGCAAGGCCCGCCCGGCGGCGCGTCGGCGAAGCGCCAGCCAGAGGCCGGCCCGCCATGCGCGGCCCGCTCGCGAGCGCGGCAGCCAGCCGCGGCGCAGCGCCAGCGCCAGCGGTCCCAAGCCGGGACCGGGACCTGTCGGACCGTGCGGAAACCGCACTCCTGGTGAATGCGGTCCCACACGTCCTCGACATCCCGGCTGCGCGCCTTGGTGCCGCCTCCACAGGCGCAGCGGAAGGCGTGCCGTGCCTTGCGGCAGAGCGGCTCGCCGCAGGGCTGCCCCGCCCGGTCGCCAGTGCGCAAGCGGTTGCAGCAGCGGCTGCCCGCGGGCGCGCAGTCCTGGCCCAGGAGCGCCCTGGCGGTCGCGCGGTAGTCCGCGTCGTCCAGCCGCTGGCCCGGCCCGCCGTTCGCCAGCTGCCAAGCCCCCGCGCGCGGCCCCCCGCAGGAGCGGAGCTGCGCCCGTCCCTCAGCGCCCAGGGAGCTCAGCAAGGCTGCGTTGTTTTTTGAATCAAGCCTGTGCGTGAGTCTCCTCTGGACTTTTTCCTAGGGTTCTGGGGCGAGCTGCCGCCAGGGGGGCAGCGGCCCCTCCTCCGGGGCCCGTGGCGGCCCCGGCGCCGGGCCCCGCAGCAGCCCGGTCAGCGCCTCCCGGCAGGCTGCAGCGAGGGGCAGGCCGGAGGTCTCGAGGTCAGCCAGCTCCGCCAGCCCCGTGCGCTCTCGGACGCCCGCCAGGCTCTGCGCCCAGGAGGCGGCCCAGGCGGCGGGCGCAAGCTCCTCCTGGCTGCGGAAGCCTCGGCCGCCCAGCGGAGCGGCAGGCGGCAGCGCGCGCGCTGCTCGGGCGCTGGGTCCAGCCGCGTCAGCTCCCGGTAGGCATCCACGAGCGCGTCGTCGTAGGCCGCGGCCGCGCCCCGGGAGCAGGCCGGCGGGTTGGCCCGGAGCAGGTGCGTGAGTTTGCCTGTGCCGCAGTGCCGGAGGAGGAGCCCCGCCGCCTGGGTCGCCAGGAGGTGCGGCGAGGCCTGAGTGGGGAGTTGGGCCAGCTTCTCCAGCAGCGCCGCCGCTCTCTCGGCGGTCTCGGCGCAGCGCGCCGCGGCGTAGGCGTCGCTGCCCAGGTCCAGCCGGCGCCCGTCGCTCTCGTCCGGGAGGTTGCCCGGCGGCGGCGGCCCCCCGAGCGGGGCGCCCAGCAGCGTGACGCCGTCGGGGCGCCAGCGCGCTTCCAGCCCCGGCGGGCAGGGCGAGCGGGGAGACCAGGCCTGCGTCTTCCTCCGCTGCAGTTCGAGCCCCAGGGGCCCCAGAGTGGCCTCCGCAGTCGCCTCGACCTCGCTCGCCAGGGCGGGCGGCGCGGGGACGATCACGTCGTCCAAGTAAGCCGGGGCGCGG